CGATGATCCCGTCGTGGTCGGAGCGGTGCGCTCCAGTCAGCTTTCCTGCGGAGCAAGTCAGCTCGGGCGCGGATGGCCTATCTCCTCCGGTCAAGGTCTCCGTGCCTTCTCCAAAGGGGGAGCGATAGGGCTCTCGCAGCTTCGTGGCGTTGAGGCACGGATCACCGTAGACGAGAAAGTTAAATCGTCGTTCTCCCGCTGCGGTCGAGATGGTCTTGGTGTCGACCTTGAGGAAATCCTGCGCGGCATGGAGAGGCGGCGTGAAGGGAGGCGCGGAGAGAGCGGTGGCGGCGGTGGGGCGCCGGCCTGCGTGTCGCAGACGCATGGCGAGCAGCAGTGGTAGGTGACGCCGGTGACACGGTCTCCCGACAGGGTCGGAAGAGAGTACTCCCAACGGTTCGACTCGCTTGGAACGACTGGCGATCCACTGATCGGACAAAAGCCGCCAAAGAGCTCGACAATTTTGGACGGCTGCAGGTCCGCCGCCTTGTCGAGAATCCACGACGCCCAGAGGTGAGAGGCGGCGTTGCGGTTGCCCGTCTTGAAGATTGAGCTGTAGTTGGCGCGCATGTCCGTGATGGTCACTGCGGAGGCCACAGAGAGCATCAGAGCCAGCATGGTCGGCCTCATTGTCGGCGTGAGAGCTGGAATTGCCAGAGGTTTCCTGCAAGCTCATTGACAACCTGCTCTGCCAAGAAACTCCCCGCAAAGACACTAGGCACGGGACTGGCGCGCACTGGCACTAACACAGGTACACCACGGGAGCCGCCTAAGCGACTCCCGCGAGGACGGCGAGGCACTTTGCTCCGCGGTTACTGGACCGTCACCAGTAGGAGCGCCGGTGTTGGCTGACTACTGTATGCACTCATAGATGGGCCCAGGTAGGAGGCTCCACACCACCTGAATCGCGTCGTGCCACCTGAAAGCCACAAAATGCCGGATTTTGCACGAGACACACGCGGAAAGCGCCACGTGCCTCCACGAGTCCTTTGCAGCTTTTTGCACAAAATGCAGGTGGCTTTAGCCACTTGCTCCATGAGCAAAACAGTCCAAAAAGCACCTGGAGCAGATGGCTTACGCCGCCTGTGGACATGGACAAAACAGTGCAAAAAGCACCTGGAGCAGATGGCTTACGCCGCCTGTGGACATGGGCAAAACAGTGCAAAAAGCACCTGGAGCAGATGGCTTACGCCGCCTGTGGCCATGGGCAAACAGTGCAAAAAGCACCTGAGTAGATTCCAAACGCCGCCTGTGGCCATGTGACCGCTCGGGTGGCGCCAGGTGGCTTCGCCCCCCTCCAAGCCACCTGCCCCCCTCGCCACACCTGCCTGGAGGGCTGGAGCACGTGCGCCACCTGGGCCCGGGCAGGTGGCTCCAGGTGGCTTCGGCCCCTCTAAGCCACCTGCATGCCCCCCCTCGCCACACCTGGAGGGCTGGAGCACGTGCGCCACCTGGGCGTCACTTCGGGAATTTCATCGTGCGTGTTCTTTTGAATAGGAATGTACTATACACCGCCTCGGCACCACGAGCCGCCCCCGCCGCGCCTCCACAATCCACTCTCGCAACTCTACCGCGCAGCCAGCACACGACGTCGGCGAGGCCGACAAAGCTCTGCATGGCCTGGTTTATCGGGGATCGAGTGATGGCGTATTATCGGGCAGTCTTCTCATTGGCGAGTCAGACTGCTCAGCGTCGGCAGCAACGGCGCGTGAGCAGCGCAGCCACCGGCTCCTGCGGCGTTTGCAGCCACACCAAACGCCCGCACGGCCGGGTTGAAGCCCCAGGCTTATGTCGACGCCGGACATTGATTGTAGCCGCCGATGACCGCCGCAGGCCCTCTTTCACACACCCCACAGTCCCAGTTTGCAGCGCGGGGAGGAGCGGGGAGGCTCGCGTTTGGCAGGCCAGCCCTTCCGTGGCTCGGATTTTCCGTTTCCGAATTCAAACTTGCGCCAGGTGGCGCACGTGCTCCGGCCCTCCAGGTGTGGCGAGGGGGGGCATGCAGGTGGCTTGGAGGGGCCGAAGCCACCTGGAGCCACCTGCCCAGGCCCAGGTGGCGCACGTGCTCCAGCCCTCCTCGTGTGGCGAGGGAGGGGGGGCAGGTGGCTTGGAGGGGGCTGAAGCCACCTGTTGCCACCTGCCCAGGCCCAGGTGGCGCACGTGCTCCAGCCCTCCACGTGTGGCGAGGGGGGCGGGGCAGGTGGCTTGGAGGGGGCCGAAGCCCTTGGCGCCACCCGAGCGCATCACATGGCCACAGGCGGCGTTTGGAATCTACTCCAGGTGCTTTTTGCACTGTTTTGCCCATGGCCACAGGCGGCGTAAGCCGTCTGCTCCAGGTGCTTTTTGCACTGTTTTGCCCATGTCCACAGGCGGCGTAAGCCATCTGCTCCAGGTGCTTTTTGCACTGTTTTGCCCATGTCCACAGGCGGCGTAAGCCATCTGCTCCAGGTGCTTTTTGCACTGTTTTGCTCATGGAGCAAGTGGCTAACGCCACCTGCATTTTTGTGCAAAAGGCTCTAAAATGGCCGAAATCCCTGTTGGCGCACGTGGCGATTGCCACGTGAGCCTCGGCTAAGAGGCCTCTCCAGGCGAGAGTCAGGTGGCACGACGCGAGTCAGGTGGCGTGGATCCTCCTACCTGGGCCCATCTCTCTATGCACTATGCACTTAGGTTTGAACAACTTCATTTTTTCCGTTGATATTTCTCTTGTGCAGCCAGAGGCCACACGTCACATCGATGACCTGTTATCCACCTGGTCCAGCTCTAGGATGGGCTACGGGCTACAGGCGTGTTCCTGCCGTGTGAGCGGGGACTGCCTGGAGTCGAGTCCGCTAGTAGGAGTAGGTGTGCGCGCGCCGTGTTGCCCTTCCCCGGGATAGTGCACCCGGGCCGCTCCCTCCCTGCGACCGCGCACCCCCCCCCCCCCCCAGCCAGGGTTAGAGGGCTATTGCCCGCAGCCCGCTCCCGAGCATCTGGCCCGCTGGGTGCTCTTCTTAGCTCCCCGGCCCTGGATGTGAGGCTAATGACTGCACTCCAAAAGTGAAGCCGAGCAGCTCGCTGTCTCACGTACCGATGCACAGCCGCTTGATGTTCGGTGATGGCGCAGGCCAAAAGAGCGCGGCGTGACGCATTTAGATCTAACAAGGCTGACTCGCCCGAGGGGACGACACTGCTTCGGCAGCGTGCACCTCGATCCTGTACCGTGTTTGTTATGACCCCCCCCGATGAACACACCAGTGAGGGAGGGCGAGACGATCGAGGGGTCCCGTACCATGCGGAATCGACCCTATCCATGCGCTGCTCCGGTGTGTGTGGGATTTTGCCTCCCCCCATCTGTGCGGCGAGGTGTTTGCGGTGGGTGCGATGGCCGATCGTGCGCGATAGCCTCCCATTGTGCGTGGTGTGTCGGTGTGTCGGTCGTCCGGAGCGTGTGGCGGCGCCGTTGCATGCAGCGACTGCTCCACGTGCCACGACTGCTTTGACTGACGTGACTGACTGATGAGACATGAGTGCTGATGGATGATCTCCGACAACCCAAAACCAAAATGAAAATGCGGAGTGGCCCCACTTTGGCGTGCAGATCCTGCGTCTCTCACTGCCCGAACAACACTCAACAGAGGCGGGTCCGCCGCAGGTCCCCACTAGTAAGTAAGAAAGCTCGTAGGCACCTTACAGGACGTGCGAGTTCGTATCGCGCGACTTCGGCCAGGCTGCTACGCTTACCGCGATCCACGTACCAAATCTCGCCCCTGCTCCTTCATGTCGATCCCGTCCCCCCCGCCGCCGCCTCTTTCGCCGTCGTCTCCCCGCATGCCAATGCACGCCCTGAGAGATGGACATGGCCTCTTTGCGATCCATCTGTTCGGCAGCGGTGCGAGAGATGCGATACATGGACCCCAGTTGCTGCACCGAAATGTAGCGCCCACCCGGACTCTGCTATGACGCAGGCGCCCTGTTGTGGTTAATAATCGTGATGCTCATCCTCATCTGCGGCTCGGTGGGGACTGAGAGATCAATCCCATGAACCCCTCGCCATACACGTACACGCTGCTCACTGCACGCCGCGCGGCGCGCACATTGATGAACCGTCGCGCCCTCCCTGCGAGCAGAGCAAGATGCTTCGAAGCAGTCGCCAAGGCTCCACAGCGTGGTCGGACGCCTCTTCAGACAATCTGGGCGACCTCCCAAGGCCGAATCGGAGAGCCGGGTGAGGGGCGTGTGAACGAAGGGCGGGGGTTACTCAGGCGACGCAAAGGCAGCGTTTGGATGGTTGCGTTGAAAGCGGACGGAGCAGTCTCCCCCCTCTGGACTAGCTGCGCGAAGGGACGGCTACGGCCAGAGGTCCTCAGCGCTGAGGTCTCCGATGCGAGCCAGCATTGTCCGTCTGCAAGCGAGCAAGCTTCCGCGTAGAAGAGCACACAGATCAGGGCGCAGCGGAGGAGAGACGAGAGAGAAGACGTATAGCTCCAAGTGGAAGTAGCAAGTGCATGGCTGAAGAAGAGGCTTCAGGCTTCAGCTTCACATGGCTCAAATGACTCAAGTGTGGTGGTGTCCGTCTCGCGTCTGGGATATATCCTCCGCGGCGTTCGGCTTCGCGCATCGCGGCGTTTCGGCCGCGCGCGGCGCGACTTGCGGCAGAGGTCGTCTGTCTCCGCTCCCTCGAACACCCCCTCCCGTAGGGGTTTTCCTTGTTTTCCCTCTCTCGGCGCGCGCGTGTGTCCGTGTGCGGTCGGACTGTCACACAGTGTGTGTTGAGTGTTGCCCCAGAGATGCAGTGAGATCTGAGTTTGGGGCCCAAAGTTTCAAAGTTTGAAACTGAGTTTCGACTCTAACAACTAACCACAACCAGAGGCAGAGGCCAGAGCAGCAGCACGGGGTAAGTTCGAGGAGGTAGGGGTGGCGTTGAGATTCGATCCTGGCGCAACGCGCGAGACTGCATACATGTAGTCTGAAGAAGACTCGGGAGTGCCCTCTGCGCAGAGGAAAAGGGGAAGCTGTGGAAGGCCGGCCCCAATTTCTCAAGTACGGTCGCCCTCTGCTTCTTCCCTCCCCGCCTCCATCTCGGCAGCCCAACGGTCGTACTCGGCGCGGCTAGTAAAGGCCGACTCGACGAAAGTCAAGAACTCTGGCGGCGGCGAGGGGCGGCCCTCGCTCGCTGCAGCCGCCTATGTGGCACCGAAGAGGGTCGGCCGCGGCGCGGTCGCGGTGGCGACGCCCCACGGAGGGTTCGCGAGGGCTCGAGCGCCTGCTCTGCTCTGAGCTGCTCCATGACAGAGGCGGGCATGGCGTGCGCCGCGTCGATCGGTGGCACTCCGTCGGTGCCTGCGGGAGGGCGAGGTGGCGGGGGTGGGGACACGCTAACCTCTCCCCCTGGCCTCCTCAGCGCGCGGGCGGCCGGCGAGAGGAGGAGAGAGAGAGAGAGAGAGGCGGACTACGACTAGCGCGGCGGCGGCGCCGAGAAGCGAGAGGCCGGCGATACCTGCGCGCAAGGGAGGGGGGGGAGGGGGGCTGTCTCGCGGCGCGGAGGAGGGGGGCGGTGTGTGGGCTTGTGTGTGCTCGCCAAAGAAGGGTGTGGACGACGTGTATACTCTCTCCTCGCTCGCCGAAGAAGGTGTGGAAGACGTCAGGGA